TAGCGCAATTTCTGCTTACAGACGTCCCAGCTAGTCAACTCTTCTTGATGTGTCTCGTACCAGAGTTTTGCCGTGCCATGCAAGTAGAAGATGATGTTCGCCAGCATAAGCGTTGGACCCCCAATGGTTGCTGCTGCTGACGCGCTCATATTGAACAAGCCAGTCATCGACGTCTATGCCACTTGTGCCGTTGAATGGACCTGGGTCACGAGGTTGCACCACAACGATCGGCTGCGGGGCTGACGGATCTTGTTGACATTGAGTAGCCTGGTCAGTCATCGTGGTAGCTGCAATGCGCCGTCCGCTGCGAAGATCCAGCTCGTTGGGCTGTATAGCGAGTGGTACCCAGCACCTCCACCAATGATGTTACGGGGAATAAAGTATACACTGATGAACAAATGTGTACTGGCAAATATACTGGCGAGCTAATGCGTACGACGCTGCTGCAGTCCGAGCACGTTCCCGTTCAGCACTTCGTCGTCGTCATCCTCAGGCATCTACTTAGCCCGTGACAATATCAGCCCAGCTATCTTCATCTACTTCAAGAAAGGCCATTCCACGTCAGCCCTCGTGTGAGTTTATATGCGAGACGATTGGGAAGGTTGGAGAAATGTCGCAGTTATACTAGCATCGGGGGTAAATACGCGTTAGTGGGTAAGTAAATGTCATGCAGCTTCATGGTCTAGTTATTTCGTCAGCCTCAATACTGCCTGCGATCCCTTGGGAATAAAGGATGAATCAGTGCCTTGGTACTGCCATCTTCCATCGATAGCTCAGTTGGTAGAGCGGTGGACTGTAGAGGTTCCAACTGCGGAAATCCATAGGTCGCTGGTTCGAATCCAGCTCGAGGGAGCGAGCATTTTTTATTTTTATGTTTTAATTAGTTATTTATTGACACATGTATAGCCCCATAATGTACACAGTGAATTAGAACATGTCATGCGCGTCACAAAGTGTGCAGGCACCCAAAGTTTATATGCGAGACGATTGGGAAGGGTGCAGAAACGTCGCCATTTTACTAGCATTGGGGGTAAATACGCGTGAGTGGGTAAGTAAATGTCATGCAGCTTCATGGTTCTCGTTATATTGTCAGCCTCAATACAGCCTGCGATTCCTTCGGTATAAAGGATGAATCGGCATCATGGTACCGCCATCTGCCGTCGATATCACAGTTGGTAGAGCGGTGGACTGTATAGGTTTTAACTGCGTAAATCCATAGCTCGCTGGTTGCAATCCGGCTCGACGGAGCAAGCTTTTTTGTGTTATTCTTTATGTTTTAATTAGTGATTAATATCCACATGTGCAGCACCATAATGTACAAAGTGAATTAGAACATGTCATACGCGTTGCGAAGTGTGCTGGTACCCAAAGTTTGTATGCGAGACGATTGGGAAGTTTGCAAAAATGTCACCATTTTACTAGCATCGGGGGTAAATACACGTGAGAGGTTAATTAAATGTCATGCAGCTTCATGGTTCTCGTAATTTCGTCAGCCTTAATACTGCCTGTGACTCCTTCGACATAAAAGATGAATCAGCGCCGTGGTACCGACTTCTTCCGTCGATAGCTCAGTTGGTAGAGCGGTGGAATGTAGAGGTTTCAACTGTGGACATCCATAGGTCGCTGGTTCAAATCTGGCTCGACGGAGCAAGCTTTTTTTCTTCATGTTTTAATTAGTGATTTATTGCCACATGTGCAGCACCATAACGTACAAAGTGAATAAAACATGTCATACGCGACACAAAGTGTGCTGGCACCCAAAGTTTATATGCGAGACGATTGGGAAGGTTGTAGAAACGTCGCCATTTTACTAGCATCGGGGGTAAATACGCGTGAGAAGGTAATTAAATGTCATGCAGCTTCATTGTTCTCGTTATTTCGTCAGCCTCAATACTGCCTGCGATTCCTTTGGCATAAAGGATGAATCAGCGCCTTGGTACCGCCATCTTCCGGCGATAGCTTAGTTGGTAGAGCGGTGGACTGTACAGGTTTGAACTGCGGACAACTATAGGTCGCTGGTTCAAATCCGGCTCGACGGAGCAAGCTTTTTTATTCTTTATGTTTTAATTAGTGATTTATTCCCACTTGTGCAGCACCATAATGTACCAAGTGAATTAAAACATGTCATACGCGTCGCGAAGTGCGCTGGCACCCAAAGTTTATATGCGAGACGATAGGGAAGGTTGTAGAAACGTGGCCATTTTACTAGCATCGGGGGTAAATACGCGTGAGAAGGTAATTAAATGTCATGCAGCTTCATGGTTCTCGTTATTTCCTCAGCCTCAATACTGCCTGCGATCCCTTCGGCATAAAGGATGAATCAGCGCCTTGGTACCGCCATCTTCCGTCGATAGCTCAGTTGGTAGAGCGGTGGACTGTAGAGGTTCCAACTGCGGACATCCATAGGTCGCTGGTCCGAATCCGGCCCGACGGAGCAAGCTTTTTTTATTCTTCATGTTTTAATTATTGATTTATTGCCACATGTGCAGCACCATAATGTACGAAGTGAATAAGAACATGTCATACGCGTCGCGAAGTGTGCTGGCACCCAAAGTTTATATGCGAGACGATTGGGAAGGTTGCAGAAACGTCGCCATTTTTCTTGCATCGGGGGTAAATACGCGTGAGTGGGTAACAAAATGTCATGCAGCTTCATGGTTCTCGTTATTTCGTCAGCCTCTATACATCCTGCGATTCCTTCGGTATAAAGGATGAATCAGCACCGTAGTACCGCCATCTTCCGTCGATAGCTCAGTTGGTAGAGCGGTAGACTGTAGAGGTTACAACTGCGGACATCCATAGGTCAATGGTTTGAATCAAGCCTGACGGAGCAAGCTTTTTGTTGTATTGATCATGTTTTAATTAGTGATTTATTGCCACAAGTGCAGAACCATAATGTATGAAGTGAATTAGAACATGTCTTACGCGACACAATGTGTGCTGGCACCCAAAGTTTATATGCGAGACGATTGGGAAGGTTGCAGAAATGTCGCCGTTTTACTAGCATCGGGGGTAAATACGCGTGAGTGTGTAAGTAAATGGCATGCAGCTTCATGGTTCTCGTTATATCGTCAGCTTTTATACTGCCTGCGATTGCTTCGGCATAAAGGATGAATCAGCGCCGTAGTACTGCCATCTTAAGTTGATAGCTCACTTTGTAGAACGGTTGGCTGTAGAGGTTCGAAATGCGGACATCCATAGGTCGCTGGTTCGAATCTAGCTCAACGGAGCAATCTTTTTGTTGTATTCTTTATGTTTTAATCAGTGATTTATTGCCACATGTGCAGCACCATAATATACAAAGTGAATTAGAACATGTCATACGCGACGAAAGGTGCGCTGGCACCCAAAGTTTATGTGCGAGACGATTGGGAAGGTTGTAGAAACGTCGCCATTTTACTAGCATTGGGGGTAAATACGCGTGAGTGGGTAAGTAAATGTCATGCAGCTTCATGGTTCTCGTTATTTCGTCAGCCTCTATACAGCCTGCGATTCCTTCGGTATAAAGGATGAATCGGCATCATGGTACCGCCATCTGCCGTCGATATCTCAGTTGGTAGAGCGGTGGACTGTATAGGTTTTAACTGCGTAAATCCACAGCTCGCTGGTTGGAATCCGGCTCGACGGAGCAAGCTTTTTTGTGTTATTCTTTATGTTTTAATTAGTGATTAATATCCACATGTGCAGCACCATAATGTACAAAGTGAATTAAAACATGTCATACGCGTTGCGAAGTGTGCTGGTACCCAAAGTTTGTATGCGAGACGATTGGGAAGTTTGCAAAAATGTCACCATTTTACTAGCATCGGGGGTAAATACACGTGAGAGGTTAATTAAATGTCATGCAGCTTCATGGTTCTCGTAATTTCGTCAGCCTCAATACTGCCTGTGACTCCTTCGACATAAAAGATGAATCAGCGCTGTGGTACCGACTTCTTCCGTCGATAGCTCCGTTGGTAGAGCGGTGGAATGTAGAGGTTTCAACTGTGGACATCCATAGGTCGCTGGTTCAAATCTGGCTCGACGGAGCAAGCTTTTTCTCTTCATGTTTTGATTAGTGATTTATTACCGCTTGTGCAGCACCATAACGTACAAAGTGAATAAAACTTGTCATACATATTGCCACTTGTGCAGCACCATAATGTACCAAGTGAATTAGAACATGTCATACGCGACGCAAACTGCGCTGGCACCCAAAGTTTATATGCGAGACGATTGGGAAGGTTGCAGAAACGTCGCAGTTTTACTAGCATCGGGGGTAAATACGCGTGAGTGGGTAAGTCATCAGTCTTTACACTGCCTGCGATTCCTTCGGCAAAGAATGAATCACCGCCATAGTACCGCCATCTGCCGTCGATAGCTCAGTTGGTAGAGCGGTGGACTGTATAGGTTTCAACTGAGGACATTCATAGGTTGCTGGTTCGAATCCGGCGCGACAGTGCATGCTTTTCAGTTTTTTTATGTTTTAGTTAGTGATTTATTGCCACATTTGCAGCACCATAAGGTACAAAGTGAAAAAAACATGTCATACGCGACACAAAGTGTGCTGGCACCCAAAGT